CACACACACACACACACACACAGACAAAGGGTCTGAAAGGAGCATGGAAGCTAAACTGTATGCAGAGGTCCTGTCAAACCCACATGGGGCCAAAACAAAGACAGGGATCACAGTAGGACAGAATGAGAGGTTGGAAGACATCGAAAGAACTAGGACATGTGCAGGGACCTTACCAGACACTTGTGGGGGCCAAGAACAGGTGAGCAGGAAGGACGTACCAATGAGCATAGGGGCACGCTAGGGAAGGGACTGAAGGAAGGAACACTCTACGGGAAGGAACTAAAACACCTCAGAGGATGCAATGGGAGTCACAGTGGGAGGTGGAAAGGGAGGGATCAGTTTTTGTCTATGGGCTAGACGAAGCTGAAGGGGAAACTTATGATGAAAGAAAGCAGGAGGAGAAAAAAGCAATTGAAGGTATCATGAAGGTGATAGGCGAGGGAGACCTGACCCAGGTGGCAAATTTTCGGAAAATCGGATGGTTCACAAAGAGAAGGAAACAGCCTCTCAAAGTAATTTTCAAGGCAGAATCAACTCGAACCAGATCCTGCGGGAGAAAGCACGGTAGAGGCAAACGGGAGTTCATGAGTGTGCACCCGATCGAGAAGAACACAGGGGGAAAGGATGATACTAAAAGAGAGAGTCCCAAAAAAAAAAAAGGAGGAATGGGAAATGACAAAGAAAAAAGCAGAATAACCCGGCAAAATGGAAGGAAAGCACACCCCCAAAAACACCTGCAAAAGGACTCCAGCCACACACCCCAAGGAACGAACAATAAAAACCCAAACCTCACACCCCGCCCCTCGTTCCCCCCCCCCGCACCCAAACCCCTACCCCTCAGAAACCCCCCTATGTGAGCTCTTTCCCCCCACTGCAACTCCCCACACCCCCCAAACCAGGGCCCCTGCTCCCCCCAACCCCAGTACCCCCCACGACCATTTTTACAGTATTAAAAGAAGTTAAAGGTTTGGTACACAAATGGGGATGGTTTTAAACGAAAAAAATATGAGGAAAGGGCAAGAAAGAATCAATGAGAACCCCAAAGACATCATAGCAGTTACAAAAACAAAACCATGAGACAATAACAGATGAAAATCTTCCCCCCGGGGATACCAGATAATGAGGAAAGATAAAAGGGGCAGAGGGAAAGGAGGGGTTGTCTGCTCGAAAAAATACTGATGGAAATTCAAAAAAGGAGGCATGACGAGACGGGAGAAAGGGACTACATAGTATACACTTCATCGGGGAGCAAAGGGGTATTGCAGTGATGTATAGTCCCCCACAGAACGCAGGGGGCCAAGAGGGGAAAATATGAAGAGCCCAACAGAGCAATGGGGGGCCCAACTTACTGAGGTGGAAGAAGAGCTCACTCCAGCAGAAAAAAAATTTGCTGGTTATGGGGTATTTAAAACCACAGGAATTGACGGGGAAAAAACCTGGAGCCACATGGGGGTCCCGGAACGGGGAGACCAAGATGTTGGATGGGGGTGCGGGGAAAACCTCATGCAAACATGTTAAGGGCACTCCCAAGTAAAGGGGGGAGGTTGAACCAGCAAAATTGGACCCTGTGTTCCCCTGCGCATTCAGACTTTGAGGACACACATATGAGAGTCCCCTGGGATTAGTGACCACTGGTTCTGTGTTTAAATAATATAGATTTGCAAGCGGAGAGAGTAACGGGAACTGAATGGGAAAAGCCAGATAAAAAAGAGGGGATTCATAAGTTGAGGAACTTCCTGCAGGGGGTTTCCGTGGGCAGAGAACTGGCAGGAAAGCCAGTAAATGAAAAAAAGAAATTTAAAACAACAAAAAAAAGGAGGCGTGGAAAGGTTTTTTCCCAAGGGCAACAGAAACAAGGGGGAAACGAAAGAGCCCCGGGGTTTACCCGACGGGTAAGGGGGCAAAAAACAAAGTGCAATAGAGAATGGAAAAAGTACAGAGGCAGAGAACACATGAAAATAGGGGATTAGTCGCAGAGCCCGGGTCGAGTATTCAAAAGGGAAGGGGGGGGCCCAGCGAAAGATGAAAAAACAAAGCATCGAAAGTAAGACGACCCAAAAAAGTTGTAAGCCACATCGGAGGAAAACAACAGTCAAAGCCAGGGTTTATCAGACTGGGACGAAGGGGGAGAACTCACAAGAAATGATCATAGGTATGTGAGGCGCTAAACGGAGATTCAAGGAAATTTTTTCAGTAGAGCGGAAGGGCTCGGAAAACCACGAAAGGGAAAACAAAGGGAATATACCAACAAGTGTTGGATACATACGAACAACCCAGGAGGAGGTGCAAAGCGCAAGTGGCCTTGATACCTCAAAAGGGGACGGGACCCGGGAAAATCTCCCCCCGGGGGCCTTAGAGAAGGAGCAGAGATGCTTGCATGCCCTAAACCCAATCTTCAACACATCCCTTGAAAATGGGCAACTACCCGAGAAAAGGGGGGAGAAATGTAGTCCCCCCTATTTAAGAAAGGAAAAAGAAACGGGCACTAAAAACAGACCCGTGTCTCTGACATGTATTGTAGCAAAGTCAGAAGAAGATTTTCAGGGGAGGTTTTGGAACACCCGGAACTGAACAAAAAGTATAAATGAAAACCAGCATGGGTTCATGGGGGAAAACCTGTGTCACAAAAACCCTTTTGGAGTTTTATGCAAGGTAAAAGAAGTAAGACACGAAGGGGGAGGGGGGGGGTTGATTGCATTTTTCCCAGAGTGCAGGAAGGCCCTTTTACCCAGTTCCTACAAGAGATTAGCGCGAAAACTGGGGGATCAGGCGCATATAACAGGGAGGGCACTGCAATGGATCGGGGAAATACCCGCGGGAGGCAAAAAACGAGTCATGGTACGTGAAGATTTATCACAGTGGGGGCCCTTTAGAGGGGGGTCCCCCAGGGTCGTTCTAGGACCCGTGCTATTTTTGATAATGCGAACGACATGATAAGGGAAAAGACTCTGAAATTCCCTATTCGCGATGATGTAAGCTGATGAGAAGGATTAAATCGGATGAAGATGAGGCAGGATTGCAAAGAGACCTGGACAGGCTGGACACGTGGTCCAGAAACCGGCTTCTCGAATTCAACCCTGCCAAATGCAAAGTCATGAAGATTGGGGAGGGGCAAAGAAGACCGCAGACAGAGTATAGGCTAGGTGGACAAAGACTACAGACCTCACTCACGGAGAAAGATCTTGGGGTGACCATAACACCGAGCACGTCACCGGAGGCACACATCAACCAAATACCTGCTGCAGCATAAGGGCGCCTTGCAAACCTGAGAATAGCATTCCGATACCTTAATAAGGAATCGTTCAAGATACTGTACACTGTGTATGTTAGGCCCATACTGGAGTATGCAGCACCAGTCTGGAACCCACACCTGATCAAGCATATCAAGAAGTTAGAGAAAGTACAAACGTTTGCAACAAGGCTAGTTCCAGAGCTCAGGGGAATGTCGTACGAGGAAAGGTTGAGGGAAGTCGGACTGACGACACTGGAGGACAGAAGGGTCAGGGGAGACATGATAACGACATACAAGGTACTGCGGGGAATAGACAAGGTGGACAGAGATAGGATGTTCCAGAGAGGGGACACAGAAACAAGGGGTCACAACTGGAAGCTGAAGACTCAGACGAGTCACAGGGACGTTAGGAAGTATTTCTTCAGTCATAGAGTCGTCAGGAAGTGGAATAGCCTAGCAAGTGAAGTAGTGGAGGCAGGAACCATACATAGCTTTAAGAAGAGGTATGACAAAGCTCAGGAAGCAGAGATGGAGAGGACATAGTAGCGATCAGTGAAGAGGCGGGGCCAGGAGCTGAGTCTCGATCAATGCAACCACAATTAGATGAGGACACACACACACACACATATATATGTATATGTATATATATATATATATATATATATATACATACATTTAAATATATATATATATATATATATATATATATATATATATTATATATATATATAATATATATATATATATATATATATATATATATATATATATATATATAATATATATATATATGTCGTGCCGAATATGTAAAACTGGTCAATTAGCAAGAACTCGTTTAAAATTAAGTCCTTTCTAAAATTTTCTCTTATACGTTTAAAGATATATACATATATATATATATATGTCGTGCCGAATAGGCAGAACTTGCGATCTTGGCTTAATTAGCAACGCTCATCTTGCCATATAGGACAAGTGAAAATTTGTGTATGCAATAATTTCGCCAAAATCATTCTGAACCTAACAAAAAAAATATATTTGATTGTGCTTGTTTAGTTCTAAATTATTGCATACGTATTTGAAATATATTTAGTTGGGTTAGGCTAAAATAAATTGCTCTTGTTATAATAAGGTTAGGTAAGTTTTCTAAGATTCTTTTGGTGCAAAATTAAAAATTTTACATTAACATTAATGAAAAAAAATATGTCTTTAAACGTATAAGAGAAAATTTCAGAAAAGACTTAATTTTAAATGAGTTCTTGCTAACTGACCAGTTTTACATATTCGGCACGACATATATATATATATATATATATATATATATATATTATATATATATATATATATATATATTATATATATATATATTTATATATATATATATATATATATTATATATATATATATATATATATATATATATATATATATATTTATATATATATATATATATATATATATATATATATATATTATATATATATATATATATATATATATATATATACATATAAATATATATATATATATATATATATATATATATATATATATATATATATATATATATATATATATATATATATATATATATATATGAGAAATCACAATAAGTGCGTGGCTACAAAAATTAAAATGTAGCGCACTGAAAAACTACTGTTATAGCAATTTGTATTTCCTTTCTCTCGTTAAATACCATTTACATTACTGTGAAAAAACCACAGGTATGACTGCGAGGTCCACGTCCTGAAGGTTGCTGTGGGTGGGTGGA